TACGCCGGGAAGACATGGGCTTCCCCAACCCCATCCCCAGCTCACTGCACAAAATCTCCCACCCTGTCTGGTCATCATCCATTGTCCCAGAAGCTGCTGTGCCCCTGCCCCTGAGGCAAATATAGAGACTCCCCCTGGAGTGGGGAGTCCCCAGGTTGTGGGCTGGGAGACCTGGATGCATCACTTCCTCTAAGAGTCACGTATAGGGCATGGGTGATCATGCCTACTTCACCAGGGATTGGGAGGTCTTGGTGAGATGCCACAGGTCTGCAGGGGGATGAAGGGAGGTTGGAGAAGGAGGGTGGTCAGTGCTGGTACTTGTACTCATCAGGAGGGGGAGGGATTGGGCCTGCCACATGGGGGGATGGGGCATCCCCTCTGAGAAAGCTCACCCCCGTGGAAAATGAGGCCTCACTTTTGGAGGGCATGATTTCCAGTACAGTGGGGAATTTGACACTCTAAACTGAAGAAAAAGCAAACAGGGTTATCTCAGTACCAACTCTAAACCACTCCTGTGGGTACAGGCCACACTGTTTGGAGGTCTGTATCAGGAATGCTTTTGAGCTTTAAGTAAAAGAATATACACCTAATCATGGCTTAAATACAAAGGGTTCCATTTTCTCTTGTAACAAGGAGTCTGGAGGGAAACGGTGGTGTTGGTTCAGTGGCTAGATAATGTCTTCAAGGACCAACATCCCATCTTTTCCTCTTGCCATCCTTACTGTTTGTTTGGGTTTTTTAAACCTTAATGTTATTGCCTCACAATCACAAGAGGGCTGCTATGGTTCCAAGCATTTCATCTTTACACAACCCCATTCGAGGTAAGAAGCAGCTAAACGAGAAAAGGGAGAAAAAAGTTCTGAGAAGCACCCCTTTATCCCTGGCCAGAAATTCACGGCAGGTGAGGGTGAGAAAGCAGGTATCTTCAAAAAAGGACTGTGTTGGTCATGACAGTCTGGGACTAATCACAGTTCTGAGACTAATCACAGTTCATCCCCCAAAGTTGGGCACATTGCTGGAACAACATCAGGCTCCTGTTGGCAAGGCAGAAGGAAGCAGAATAGCTCCAAGGGAGACCAGGTAGCCCGTTGACAGGGTCCGCTGGAGGTGGGAGAATCAGTCCCACAGAAGAGTGGCTACCAGGCAGGACTCTTAACTGCGAACCTTATAAGCTACTCTGTGACAAACAGCAGATTTCACTTTGTTGCAAACAACAGAATCCACGTTGTTACCAACAGTGCGCTCCACTCTGTTGCCCCCCGCAGACTGGTGGGCATACCCAGCACCAGGCAGGAGGAGGCCGTGGCTCTTGGCCCTCTCCAGCCCATCTGAGGAGCCCCAGAAGCCCCTTACTCATGGTCTGTCTCAACCACCTGCTTGGCCTGAAACACCCCCCGGAGCCCTTGGAGTCAGGGCACTGCCCCTCACCCTGAAGGCTTAGCTTAACAGGTCCCATCCTCTCTGGGGAGCTTGGCAAACCTCCCCCGGATGTGGTCAGACTTCGGGCTGCAAGCTTCTGTGTGGAGAGGCCTACGAAGGCAAGACCTGGAGAGAGGGTCAAAAGAGGGTCAAAGGTGCCTCCAGGAGAGCCCACTGAGGGTGGGAAGGGGATGGAGGGCCCAAAGGTGGGAAGAGGATTCCTGAGGTGGGGGCAGGGCAGAAGCATCAGCCTCAACAGACTCCACTTCTATGTCTTAACTTCTCTGATCCGTGCTCCCAATCAGAGGATACAGTGGTCCCTTGGGCCAGATCAGACACTGAGATCAAAGAGCTATTCAGTTTGGCTGATGCAGTGCTAAAAAAAGAAAAAAGAAAGAAAAAAAAGTCTAATCCGAATGTTTAAAATTGTGAGGTTTCACATTACCCGCCAGATTTCAACCTTTCTTGAAAAATCGGAAGCTCTGGCCACACCGCATCATCTTCCCATCTGGCGGCACAGGCTACAACCAAGTGGCTGCCATGCGTTTGGATGGGGCGTGAGCTTTGGAGCACCACAGACCCCACTACCCCCTACTGCCTCCCCTCACCAACCTGGGCAGCCTGTGAACACCTCCCCATTCTAATCCCTTAGGCCTGATTGACTCCATGACCGTACTCTTCTGCCCCTGCCCTGCACGGTTCTGGGGGCCCCTGGGGGAGAAGACACGGCCTGCACGATGTTAGCAGGGAGGAGAAGCAGAAGTTAGGGGTACCGGGATAGAAAATTCAGGGGCCTCTTCGGGGCCCGTTTTTGTGGCCAGCGGGTTCCAGTGGCCTGGTTTGGCTAAGAATTTGTCAGGGGTCACAGCCCTCCCTTCCTGGCGTGGACCTAAAGGCATGAAGGGGCTCCCATTGTCACTGCCCTCCTGAGCCCGGGGGTTCCTTGGTGCCTTGTGGGGCATTTGACCTACGTTTGACCAAAAAGGCAACTGAGAGAGGTAGACACGGTCTCCCCCTCCCCAGCCTTCCTGCCCCTGGGGCACCTGCCCACATCCACAGGGCCCTCCCCTCCCCCAACCACAGGGGCACCTCTGAGGAAAAGAAGTAGGACCGACTGTATTTTCAGCCTCCTGGAAAAGGCGCTGTAGGATCTTGGGGCGACACTTGGCCTCCTTCATTGTGAGTCGAGACACTGGTGCTACAGCACAAGAGACAAGAAATGAGCAGCGAACGGGGGAGGGAGGTGGAAAAATTAAATTTTGCGTGATCAGCAAGGTTTCAAACAATCGCTCGCCAACTGAAGTGGGTGCCACGTCTATAAGTCATTCTGTTTTATAGACCATTAGGATCTCCAGAGAGAACCTGCATGGAGACCACTGCTTTTTGTTGAAATTAAAATGTCAGAGAAAAAGAAATAGAACAAAACAGGGAATCTGCAATTAATTACCAGGCCATAAAAATTCAATAATCAGGAGGCAGAGCGGCCGCGGGCCCAGAGGTATCAGAGCCGGCGTAACAAGAATGGAATACATTAATCTTTTCAAATTAGTTTTTTAATCTGACGGGGATATATGGTGACATGCCTCCCCTCCGTGCCCGCTCCGCCCCCCACCCCCTCTCCAGGCCTCTCGCCTGAAGCCGGTTCTCGGGGAGGGAGGTTCGGGTGTGAGCTGGGGGCCTGCCCCAATCCGGCCCCCCAGACAGGGGAGAAAGTGCTGGTCTGCGGCCCAGGCTGAGCCCAGTGCCCACATGCCCGCCGGCCTGGTGGAGGGAGCCCAGCAGAGCAGCCAGGAAAGCGCTTCCTGCGGGGTCCCGGTGCGTGGAGTCCGCGTGGAGAGGGGGCCTCTGTGAGCTCCGGTTTCCTCCTCTGGAAAATGGGAATCATATCCCCGCCTCACAGGCAGGCTGGATGTGGAATGCGGGGTGCTCAGTAGATGGCCCCTCGGGTTACTGTGCTGACCGGACTGGCAGCTCAGGCAGCTAGGAGCCCACGAAGCTCCAACATACTATTCCGAGAGCAATTATTTAGCATTTGCTGTGTGCTCAGCGCTGGGAGAGACCAGCAGCCTCAGCCCTTACTCTGGGGAATGAGACTCCTAGGTCAGAGAAACAGGTACTGGGCCACCCGGTAAGGGGGAAGGCGCTACCCCTCGAAGCAGGGCGCCGGCCGGACCGCGGGGAACCGGGAGGGACTGGGACGGCGGCCGAGGGCCCACCCGGCAGCACCCCAGCCCGGCCCCCGCGCAGCCGGCTCCACCCCGCGCCCCGGGTCAGTCCCGCCCCTGTGTCTCCCTCGAGGTCGGGTCGTCGGCTCCCGGAGCCTCCACCGCAACTGGGTCTCCTCCTGCGCGCCTTCCCAGCGCTGTGCTCCGAGTTTGTGTCCAGCTCGCTCCGATCCTCAGCCTCAGCCACGCCGCGGCCGCACGCACCACCCCCAAACCTCGATAAACCTGCCTCCGGGCCTCGGAGTCTGAGCCTCCCCTGGGCAGCCCCGGTGCAGCTCTGGTTTGGACACTCAGTGGGCTGTGGGAGCAGGCACGCCCGGGGAGGTGACCTTGAGCCGCAGTCGGATGACCGTCTGCCCTTTGGACTTTAACTCCTTTTAAATGTAACAGGTAGGGCCCACTCAGGGCCGGCCCTGTGTTAAGTCCTTCACCGGGATTTTCTCATTTCATCCCCTGCGGGGGTGGTTGGGGGGGGATTCTTAATAACCCCGTTTTGCAGAAGAGGAAATGGTGAAAGTGGAGTTGCCCCCCATTTTTGTGTGCTGTGTTCCCCGAATGTAGCTTCCCTAAGAATACGCGCCAGCACAGCTTCTTTCCCCTTCCCCACTTTGAGTCACAGAAGGCGCTCCATCAGTGCTCACAGGATCGTGTCCCTGCAGAACAGCACTGCGAGCCGACCTCAGCTGCCCTTCCACCACTTTCCTCCCCAAAATATCTCCACCCCAACAGCTGCCATTTACTGAGCACCTAGTGTGCCAGGTTGTGTGACCTGGTGCCATTTGCGGTAAGACTGTGGTTCCTGTTTTCCACAAAGGAAACAGGCTGAGAATGATGGCCCCAAGAGCTCACACCCATGTCTGGCGCCCAAGGGGAGGATTCTAAGAATCTTGTCTCAGAGCCCCATCAATGAGACCTGTCTCAGGACTCCCAAGCCCCACCTCTGGTTTTGTCCCCAAACCGGGTCCTTCACTCCTTCAACCAGATACCCTTACTCACCTTCCCCAAAAAGCCTCCCCTAATTCTCTCAGTCCCTCTCAGAGCTCCTGTCATTTCTATCACGTTGTACTCATTACTACCCTGTTACACCGAGGGCCCACCCACCCACATATGCTCCAGGGCCCCAGCAAAAACAGGAGCAATAAGAAGCATACACCCAGGAGGGGCATCACATTCTTCCTCCCTGACCCAGGACTGTAGACCTCAGGGGCCGGCAAGAAAAACCCAGACACCGCATGCTGGGCTTGCGCCCCTCTCTGGGTGCAGTTCCCAGTGCAGCCACCAGATGGCGCCCGGCTCGCTCTAGCGGGACTTGCAGTAAAGCTGTGCGGTCGCCAGATGGCGTTCGAGACCGCAGCTCCGCGGGCAGTGCCGGGACAGGGCGGAGCCTGGAGGGCAGGCGGATCCCAGCGTGGGCCCAGGAGGCCCAGCCAAGTGACCCGTACGTGGCTGCCTCCTGGTCGCACCATGATCCATCCCGCACCCCGGCTCTCTGTGCCCGCCGCGCTGGCCCTGGGCTCGGCCGCGCTGGGCGCCGCCTTGGCCACCGGCCTCTTCCTGGGTGAGTAGGGCGGGGCCCACGGAACCCACCCGCAGAGCCCCCGCAGGCGGGGCAGGTGCGGAAGCCGAGCCCGTGACTCCGCGAGGCTGGCTGCAGCTGAAGCTCAGCCCTGGAGCCCCAGGCCCTGACCCAGGACTCCTCCCTGGCAGGGAGCCGGTGCCATCCCTGGCGATCCCGGCGAGAGAAGCGCCTGCTGCCCCCTGAAGACAGCCCCCTGTGGCAGTATCTGCTGAGCCGCTCCATGCGGGAGCACCCGGCGCTGCGGAGCCTGCGGCTGGTCAGCAGGGCTAGGGGCGGGAACAGGCGCCCACCTCGGACCCAGCGGGTCCCACGTGGTTGTGTGACCTTGGGCTGGGCCATGGCGCTCTCGGGGCTTCCGGGACACAGCCGGCTGGGCGCGGTGGGCGTTCCCTGAGGGCCCGTCCCGGGACCACGCCCACGGCCGCGCACCTGGAGGGGGTTGTGGACCCGGGGAGGAGCTGGGTGACTGGCAGTGCTGGCGCGACCCTCTCCCCTCCACCGCGACACAGCTGACCCTGGAGCAGCCGCAGGGAGATTCCATGATGACCCGTGAGCAGGCCCAGCTTCTGGCCAACCTGGCGCGGCTCATCAAGGCCAAGAAGGCTCTGGACCTGGGTAGGGCGCACGGCTGGGATCACTGGGGGCCGAAGTCACCGGGATGTCCCCCTACTCTGGCCTGAGCTTGTCCATGTCCCTTGCCCCCAGGTACTTTCACAGGCTACTCAGCCCTAGCGTTGGCCTTGGCGCTGCCCCCGGCCGGGCGCGTGGTGACCTGTGAGGTGAACCCGGGGCCCCCGGAGCTGGGGCGGCCCCTGTGGAGGCAGGTGAGTGTCCCACACATTTGAGGCCCTCATCAGGCCCTTGGAGGCTGGCCACTCCCAGCTCCAGGAGAAGGGACTTGCTGGCTCTGACCCCACTCCTTCCGCAGGCTGAGGAGGAGCACAAGATCGACCTTCGGTTGAAGCCCGCCCTGGAGACCCTGGGTGAGCAACGGAGTGGAAGGGGCCTTGGCACCATTTTCCAAGTGGAGCCACTGGGCGTGAGCTAGTGACCAGGTCCGCTGGCTGGGCTTGGGGCAGTGACAGCCCCCTGCCTCCTGGCCTCGCCGCTGCCATGCGGCCACATGCTGGGTGGCAAGACGCCCCTCCAGGCCAAAGTCCCTGAATAGTCACAGCGCCTGGGCAGGCCTGGGCAGGGGCTTCTGACCGCTGGGGCTGCGGACTCAGCCGCATTTGCCCCCCTCCTCCCCCGCAAGACGAGCTCCTGGTCGCGGGCGAGGCCGGCACCTTCGACATGGCCGTGGTGGACGCGGACAAGGAGAACTGCACCGCCTACTATGAGCGGTGCCTGCAGCTGCTGCGCCCCGGAGGCATCCTCGCAGTCCTCAGTGTAAGGGGAAGAACGAACCCTCCCGGGCTGCGTCTCCTGTCTTTCCACTTGGCTCCTCCCCGTACCCCGCCCCCATGCCACAAAGCCCCGCCCAGTGCACGCATGTAAGCCGCTCCCTCGCCCCGCCTCTCCCTCACGCACCTTCCCCCTCGGCCCTGACCCCGCCCCCGTGATGCCCCGCCCCCCCGCAGGTCCTGTGGCGCGGAGAGGTGTTACAGCCTCAACCAGGGGACACCGAGGCCCAGTGCGTGCGAAACCTGAACGAGCGCATCCTGCGGGACGCCAGGGTCCACATCAGCCTCCTGCCTCTGGGCGACGGCCTTACCTTAGCCTTCAAGATCTAGGGCCGGCCCCCAGCAGGTGGCCTCAAGGGAGGGGACCTGGGAACCCCAGACATCAACCCTGAGTTTTAAATTCGACAATAAAGTGGGGCCTGGGACACGATCTTTTGAGCCTCCGTATGTGGCGCAAAAGTGGGGTAGGGAGGGAAGGCCCAGCACTGGCAGGTCCTAAAGCAAATGGGGGCCTTGAGGTCATAGACGTCATCCCCTCCCTGGCACAGTCCTGAGGGCCACCTGGCACCAGGTCTATAGCCTGAGTAGGAGCCTCCAGCTGACTGGTAGCAGGAAATAAAGTTTTGATTGGCCTGGCCACATACAGGACCCCAGCTCCTCAGGTTTGCCCCCACTCTACAGGATCTGAGGGCTGGCAGCTGGGTAGAACCCCCACCCATTGGTCCCCCCCCCCACTTCACTTCCTAGGAGGGGCAAGTGAATGGTCTTGTTTGGTGCAGCTGGGACTGACTGGAAACCCTATCTGGGGTCCGACAACAGGAAACCACCTTAGAGCAGACCAGGTTTGCCACTGGGCGCTTTCATAGGTTATGCCAGTTCTATTTGCCCATGTTTTCACAGAACTGTCAGCTCGACCTCACCTCTGCAGTGGAGGCTCTGCTCAGTGGACATCACCTCTGAGAACCAGGCCACTTGACTTAAACCTGAGGACCTCAAGGTTGGAGCATATATCCTGTCCTCCCCCTGAAGTCCTGGAGGAAGGTGAGGGACTGGGTGGGATCACTGGCCAGAAAGGTGTGAAGTAGAAAGGCCTACTGTCTAGGTAGGAGACTATCAGTATGGCAGTTTTTTTAAAAAGTTCCCCACAGGTGGGTGCCTGGGTGGCTCAGTTGGTTAAGCGACTGCCTTCGGCTCAGGTCATGATCCTGGAGTCCCGGGATCGAGTCCCACATCGGGCTCCCTGCTCAGCAGGGAGTCTGCTTCTCCCTCTGACCTTCCTCCCTCTCATGCTCTCTACCATTCTCTCTCTCTCTCAATAAATAAATAAAAATTTAAAAAATAAATAAATAAATAAAAAGTTCCCCACAGGAAGATGAATATAGTTAGGCTTTCCCACACCAACATCTACGAGAGGAGGTGGACAGGGAGCCAGGTGCTTCACTTCTCTCCATTTAGACCTCCCTAATCCCAATCCCACAGGAAGATCCTATCTCCACACCAACACAGAGGAGTATCAGGTACAAATATGAAGTGTTCGACTGACTAACTGCATCAGCCTAGAATACTATTAGGTTTTGCCACCACTGGATTAGGCCTGGGTGCTATAAGCCTGGAGACTATTAGAAACAAGGCCACAGGGGCCCATAGCTGGCAACTTCCATAATCCTACCCCTCCTGGGACGAACCTGGTATTTTATGCAACCCTCAGGGCCCCAGGAACCTTCTCTCCCCTGCATGCTAAAAACGTTAATTAGGATGCACCTGGGTAAATACGTCCACTTTACTCTTCTTAAATGTATCTCTGACCAACTGCTAACTCACTTGTGCCACACCCCAATCCTGAGTACTGGACGCGGTACAATCCAGCCACAGCTGAGGGAAGGCCACCTGTTAGCTCTGGGGCAGCGGGTCATCCAGGGGGCTTCAGAAGTCACGGGCCTATTACCAGTTCCTCCCCACCAGGTGGAGTTTCAGAGATGTCTGATCTACTTCACACCTCTCTTGAGAATCCCAAAAGCAGATGTGCTTTCACACCTAACTTGCAGACATCATCAAACAGGAAAACTGTTTGACCTAGCAAAAGATCCTGACTCAAGCAAACTGGCTCAAATTCCAACTGTCTGCCATTAAATCACGTGTGTCTTATTCACACAGGCCATTCTTGCCAGTCCCTTAGCACAAACATAGATCAGGAGGAGCCTCTTTATCACCCCACAATGGAAAGCTTGCTTGAGCTTCTAATCTCTCATCAGATTCTTTCTGACCTGGAAATTTTCAGCATGTATCACTTTTTTGGGTAATGAGTCTCAAAGTACATTTTCTTACCTGTTCCCTCTTAGACTTCAAATGGTACCTCAGGTCTAATAGTGTAAATATGTTGAACTCCCTTCTCTAACCTCTGATCACACCCTTCAAACTATCTTCTCCCATCCAAAACACTTGCTGTTTCCTACTTTTCCAACCAGAATCACCTATTAATTTCTGTCATTCAGCCCCAGTGCAGATGAAGGCCAGTGGCCAAAAAGCCTGAAGGCACTGCTTCTGGTCTCATACTTAGGCCCAACCCTTTCAGTGTCTGCCTAGAAAGAAACGATTCATGACCTCTCACGGAGGCCCATATACTCCCTTCTCAAGTCCCTCTGGTTACTGACACCTCACTCCATTTGCCTACACCTCGTCCCATCCCACCTAGGGCCTACTTCACTTCCCACAGCAATAGCTCACAGGGGTATGGTGTGTGTATACAGCCTTCAGCACCACCTCTTCAATGATCCAATGGAATTCTGGACAAACTTACAAACTGAAGATATAAAGGCATATATCCTCTTATTTTATTGTAGTCCAAAAAGTTTGTGGAGTTACTTTAGGGACACAGAGGACTTTATGGCACAGATTTAGGTAAAAAGCAAAATGCTCACCAGAAAAATAAGGTACTAGTGACATACAAGGGAGATCTGACCCTGGCAAATGTTTAAACTCTGCAAATACTTGGGGAGTCATTAATTATGTATACTTGTTTTTATTCATAATCTGTACTGTTTGGGGATACCAAAAGTAATTCTAATGATGGGCTGGATTTAACAAAAATTTTTTAACCTCATCTTAAAACTTCCACTGATCCATCTTGTTCAATGGCAATTTTCAATGTTAATAGGAACATAAAAATAAACATGCACACAACTGCACAGTTTTCATAAAGGTCTATTTCATTATTGGTGGGTAGCGCATTTAACAGTTAAATACATTTAAATAATGTATAGGTGACTGCACGACTGCAGCACTGGTAACTAGATAGATAACCAATTCAACTAGAAACCAGCTAACAAGTAACTGTCTAAATATTTAAAATACAGCTCTTGTTTAGATCATCCTTTGATTTGATCACCTTCTTGGGCGGGGGGGAGCCTGCTGGTCACACTGGAAATATATTAAGGCCAAATCTTCTGATATCCATTCCCAGAGGTTTCTTTCAGCTGGATTAAGCCTCCAACTCAAGGGCAAGCCCAAGTTTGTGGCCTCCAGCATTGATGCTCTTCCCGTCTACCAGAGCAGACAGTGTAAGCTTGACACCTGTAAAAAAAGGCAGGCAACCATGACTTGCCTGAAACACCTCAAGAGTCTGCAGTCTTTAATAATCACCCCAGATCCTGCCTGTCCCTCCCTCAGCCTGCTAGATGACCTATTATTGCCAACCACCAGAGGGCACTTGGGAGTCCCAGAGATACCGGACAGAATTCAGGTGGTATCATCCTAGGTTAAGGGATCTGTGAAGTCACAGAGCATTAAAAATAAGTTCAAAAAGTGCTCTAGAAAATACAGTAACATTCAAAACACTATCCAGACTATTAGACACTAAACGACAATCATAATTGGACCAGGACAACTACAATAAAGAGACAAGTGGGGGAAACTAAATATAGACTACATATTTGTATTGCTCAACTAATGGTAATTTCCTTAGCTGTGACAGTGGTATTGTAGTTATGAAGAAAAATGTCTTACTCTCGGGATATGCATGCTGGGTAGATGTGTCTGCATGTCTGCAAAACAGACATTTAAATAAATGAAAAGGGACTGTGGGAAAATGGGATTATGTATGCAGACATGGAGAAAACAAATGTGGTAGATGTTAGTGAATGTGGGGAAGGGTATACAGGTGTTCTTCGTACTTGTCTTTTGAGCTTTCAAAAAGGCCAAAACAGAAAGTCTGGGGGAATATCCCTATTTGAACAGAGTAAAAGTTCCAAGTGCTTTAGAACTTGCTATTCAAATGGTGGCAAGAACCAGTGATACTGGCATCACCCTAGAGCTTGTTAGAAAGACAGAACCCTTCACTCCAGATCTATTGGATCAGAATGTACATTTTAGCAAGAGTCCCCGGGTGACTCACGCACACTGAAGTCTGATAAGTACTGCTCTAGAAAATACAACAAGGCTCAAAATACTACATAAAGTAAATGTGACTACAGAGACCAAACAATGAAAGCAATGAGTGAACCTTGATTAGAGAAATAAACAATACTAGAAGGCATTTCAGGTACAAATGAGGAAAGTGACTACAGAATGGAGATTAAATCATAATATGGACTATTAAATTTCTTAGGTGTGATGATAATGGTATTATGGTTATGCAGGAGACCAGAATGTTCTCATTTCTGAATAGAGACATGCTGAAGCATGTAGGGAAGTGTCAGGATAGGTGCAACTTCCAAACAGCCCAGCAAAATAAAATAAATAAATAAATAAAACTGTGGCAAAAGGTAAACGTGTTCATCGTACTCTGAAAGGTTTACAAAGAATCTGAGAAATGAAAAATAATTCTTAAAACACCAATCCTACTTAAAAAAAACAAAACAAAACAAAACCACCAATCCTACTTATCAAGAATACTTACCAGGCCTCAGAGTCTGAGTGTAGCCCACTCCAATTAAACTAGAGTTGTTGACTTTTGCCTAAAATAAAATGCAAAAACAACTGTAAAATTTCTTTTGAATTCAGAGACAAAACCCCTGGTTTCCCTATTATACAATTACCAAGTGTTCTGCTTTTTTATTCACATGTGAAATAATAAAATTTAGGCAAACCATGAGAGACTCTTGACTCTGGGAAACAAACTGAGGGTTGCAGAAGGGGAGGAGGGATGGGGTAACTGGGTGATGGGCATTAAGGAGGGTACGTGCTGTGATTAGTACTGGGTGTTATACACAACTAATAAATCAATGAACACTACATCAAAAACTAATGATGTACTATATATTGGCTAACTGAATTTAAATTAAAAAAAGACGTGTATAAGATAAAGATTTCATATTAGAGAAGTAAAATAAATAAAATTTAACACTAAGCCAAACAAAAGCTAGGTGCCACTTAATTCTTATCCATTAAACTCCAAGTCAAACTTGTCAGTAGGACACAATGTTCTTGGTAGTA